GGACCGCACTGACCTGCTTGTGCCGCGGCCAAAGTCGCGCGCCAGGAGTATGCATGTATGTTAATAATACTAATAATATGTTAAAATAGTAATAGAATAAATGTAGTATATATTAAAAAGAAATCAGTTGAAAAAAATTTACTCTGATGTTAACCTTGTTGAACAAAGTTAACGTTTGTTGGACAAAGTTAACATTTGGTTAACATTTGTTGAACAAAGTTAACATTTGTTGGACAAAGTTAACATTTGGTTAACATTTGTTGGACAAAGTTAACATTTGGTTAACATTTGTTGGACAAAGTTAACATTTATTGGACAAAGTTAACATTTGGTTAAAATTTGCTGGACAAAGTTAACGTTTAGTTAACTGAAAGTTAAAATTCGTACATCGTAAGCTACAATTTTGCGATTTATATCAATTTTGTGTGTTTATAAGTAGATTAATATGAATTTCTGTGGATAAAATTTAGAAAGAACTGTAGATTTTGATTGTTTTTCACATTTTGTTTGACCCTCTTAAATCAATGCAATGTTTACGTTATAACCATACAATAGATTACGCCATCGATTAAAAAAAATGCACAACAGCATAATTTTTTAAAGATTTTTTTTTAATCTTGTGCGGTGAAAAAAAAATAAAAAAATCGTTTTTTTCCAGAATCAGAACGGTATATACTACGACGTGGAATATGAGAACAATCCCGAACCTATATACGGCAGTAAGGGTATCCCTCTCTCCACATACACCGTCAGTAGGGGCCCGCCCTTCTACAGGACATAGTCATTTCTATAAAAATAACTGTTTTTGACAAAAAAACTAAGAACCTTTGACTTTGACTAAACTATCGCACAACTATTAAGTCTCTCTTTTCTATGAGCGTATATGCACTAATTGATTTTTGGTTGTGCTAAACATGGTGAATTTAGTTGTGCGATATTTTAATCAGAGGTGTGTGAACGATCTTAAAAATACTTTTTTTTTTAACCTAGGTACTATTAATAAAATAGAAAAAGTAGTTCAGTTCAGTTCAGTTTCTTGTCTTGAAAAAGTAATGAAATCCGGATTTCATAAAAAATCAGGCAATCAAATTAAAGTTTTGTACACTTAGTTTCTAGTTTATTGTAAATTGCTTAAAATAAGTTTAAATTTTGATGAAATATAAATTTGGACTATTTGGCAATTTTTTTAATTTAAACAGAACGAAAATCAAAACAACGATATTTTACATAATAAGCTAAAATCTTGTATATCACAAATAAAGCATAAAAATATAACTTTATAGTTATTTAGTTGTTAAATTGTAAATAATATAGATTAACGGTTATCGAAATATTTTATTAAAGAAGCACTTAAAGTGATTACGAAGAAAATATATTTATAGACTGAAGATAAATTTATTATAAGTAAATCTTGTAATTAGATATTTAATATGCTTTGTGCTTTATCGCATTTTATCGTTAACCACAAAGTTAACGCTAAGTTAAATATACGGTTAACCACAAAGTTAACGCTAAGTTAAATTTACGGTTAACCGCAATGTTAAATTTACGGTTAACCACAATGTTAAATTTACGGTTAACCGCAATGTTAAATTTACGGTTAACCACAAAGTTAACGCTAAGTTAAATTTACGGTTAACCGCAATGTTAAATTTACGGTTAACCACAAAGTTAACGCAAAGTTAAATTTACGGTTAACCGCAATGTTAAATTTACGGTTAACCACAAAGTTAACGTTACGGTTAACCGCAAAGTTAACGGTATCGTAAAGTTAACGGTTACCCACTAGGTTAACGGCAAAGTTAACAAGGTTTACGGCAATTGTGCTTTGAATTTTAATATTTATAGTTAGAGTCGACTTCCGATAAAAATGGAAATTTAAAGAAAGTATACAATAATAACAATACAATTTTGAATATCGTTTACTAATTTTGAATTGAGTCATAGATGTTCAATAACTTTTTTAACTTTGCCAGATCTAAAGGTAAAATCTAGACTTAAAAGGGAGCTGCCCTAAACTGCCCCCCTTAGCGAAGCTTCTACAGATATCTATAAATTAAATTATAATTAGTTATTAGTAAAACAACGCTAAATGTTAAACTTTAACGATAAAGTCATGTTTAGGGCAACACGAACTGCATTTATATTGTACATTTTAACCATAACGTAAAACCATGCTATGTAATTATAGGAATAAAATATATATCACAAACAATCTTTTATTTAAACCAATTCCCCTTAAAATAAATTAAAAAATAAGTGTATGATGTATGGATCTGATTGGGCAAAAGACGGATGAAAGGAGAATACAGGACGTTATACTAGCTTTTGCCCGCGACTCATTCCGCGTGGGATTAAAAAGTATCCTATGTGTTCTTCCAGACTGTACTCTACATCTATGCCAAATTTCATCCAGATCCTTTCAGCCGTTTAGGCTTCAAATTCTAACAAATCCATCTATACTTTCGTATTTATAATGTTAGTAGTAAATTTTTATATAACAGGAAGACTAAACATATATAGTTTTCGCGAATGTTAAAATGGACGAAATATATTAGAGGTAGTTTCAGAGTAGCCCAAGTAGTAGAGAAGGTAAGGAATAAAAGGTTGGCATGGTATGGGCATGTTATGAGAAGGGATGAATCGCATGTAACAAGAAGTACCTTAGTTATGAGTGTGGTAGAGGTAGAAAGAGATAGATGAATTGCGTGAAAGGTGACAGCCAAGAAGGGAGTCACTGAGATGACGGATGATAGAGTTATTTGGAGGACGAAAAGTCACACCGACCTTACTGGAGTAGGAAAAGGTAGGGGAGATGAATCTAAAATTCACACCACTTGAAGGTATTACCTTATACCTATTTAAAAATAAAAAAAAACAAAATTGTTATTAAAATATATTTATTTATTAACCTATATAAAAGTAGGTTTATAAATATAAATGCAATATTGGACTTCGAACTTAAAATATAAACAATAATTTAACTATTACAAAATTAATTTATACTCAGTCAATATTGAATTAGCCCTTGTCTGATGGTTTCTACCAAAATCTACTATTTTTTAATTAAATGACAATGGCAAGAAATATAAAAAATAATATTACAAGAACAATAATTTACCTACTATCATAGAGTAATAAGTAAATATGAAAAAGGCATTATTCAAAACATAACCTCAAATCTGCTATTTGACATATTAAAAAAAAAATAGCAGAATATGAAAACAAAATTGAGCATTAAATTTCTGTAATACGGAATGATTATTCTAGACTACAATTTTTAATAAATATATAACTACTACAGACTTATTTTAGAGTGTTTATTTTTTCTTGAGGTAACAATTATTGAGCACATTGTAGTTAAACCTATAACCGGATTCGGGAACTCCGTCTGTGACCAGATTATCGCTGTGGAAGTGGAGGTATACTGGTCCGGGGGGAGCCGCTGGAAGGGATAAAAAGTAGTTTTTTAATTTTTAGTACAACATTCAATTTTATAAATCTGCGTTACAAGTACACGATTTCTTTGTTCTACTAAACCTCACACCATCATAAGTCACCACTGAGGGGTTCAGAGCCTACCATTAAGTTAGCAGTGACAGAGTCAACCACACTTCGGGTTGATTTAACGCATATGTATCTATTTCTTCTCTGATATGAACAAGCATCACGATATTCCTTCACAATAAGAACGTCGAGTATATAAAAATCGAAAACTCAATATCACATGGTGGAATTCGAACCCAGGACCCGTAGATTACAATTCAAGTGCCTTAACCCTTGATGTAAAATGTTCATATGAAAATGTAACAGAAGTACGTAACGGAATGCAAAATCTGCCATTAATTAAACCCTAAGCCAACGTATACTCACAAGCAATGATTTGATTCTGTGCACTGGTGCCGCAGAACTTGGACCCTCTAAGTCCTTCTACGGTCTCAGCCTCGGGTATGAAAAGATAGTCTTCCGACTGTGAGATCCCTTGTGTCACAGGGTTCACTTGACAGTCGGTGTCTACCTGCATGTTCTGGTCATCACGGTAAGCCAGTTCGAAGTTTGCAGCTGTCAATCTGTAGATCAAATAACAGGGTATTATTCTGCATACGTTTTTTTTTAACAAAACATTAGTAGATTTTTGTTAATTTAATAATATTTCCTTTAACCATTCCAACTTAGCTGTATGCTTGTGCTAGGATATGGTTCACGACAATAGTCGAATGCCGGGATTCGAACCTTCGACCGCAAGATTGGTAGTCCGTACCCCAAACCAAAGCTATTTGCGTTTGCAGATGCTTTTAACAAGAGTAACAAAGAATTACCAACAAAGAAAAAATTGTAAGATATCTGTTTCAAAAAGTAATTCCTAATTCAAATTATGTTGATGAATAGAGCGTACTTTTATTATCCCATACTGTTTTTTTTTATAATATAGGGTGGCAAACGAGCAAGCGGCCACCTGAATCCACCGAAATGGAAAGCGACCGCTGACCATAAACATACGCAAATGCAGATGCG